GCATATAAGTTTTTAATCAATGTTTTATCATTCCTGGCAATCTACAACAATAAAACAGGATATTTTCTTTAAATGATAAGTGAAAATTAGTGCATACAGGGAACACTACGAAGATAACAATGTGAGGAAGTCTATGATCCTGAACCTCTGCCCATAAATACCAAAAAGAGTAACTAGCAGTCTGTAGTTCTGTAGTCAAACCTGTGAGATCTCTGAATGGATAGCAAGAAGCAGTCAAAAATTAGAACAACATATGGACAAATCTCAATGAGTAAGACAATTTTTTTTTTTTTTTAAATGTCCCAGTGCAAGAGGTAAATGGTTTACAACAAAACCACAGCCGCACTGCCAACCAATGAGTGATTCTCCTGCGCACGGGGAGGAGTCCCAACCTCTGGGACTGTTCAAGGTGTATACTTGTACTACTCTGGAGGCTCCCTAAAATATGGAATCCTTGTTCTGGGCAGAATTGAATCCCTCACAGAACATGAGAAGAAACAGTGACCAAGAACTAAAGGCTATGTTCATTCGAGGGTGAATAAATCAGTGCGTTTTCGAATAAGTTTCTAAGTCACTGAAAGGCTGAAATCTGTCTTGCTAAAACTGGAGCCCTCCTAAGGTAGAGGAGGGTAGGTAATCAGAGAAAGAAGGCTGTCCCTGCCTGAGAGTGGATTGATCAGCGTGTGTTTTGTGATCACTGTGGAAGCAGATGAAGGACTGAAACCTTGATCTGTCATGAAATATGGACCTTGCAGGGAAGAGGAGTAGTAAGCAAAATCTGAAGGCAGAACTGGCTCAGAAGATTCTTGTAGAAATTAGTGCTTTCAAAAGAAACATGTATACAAGACTAATTTTCACTCATCATTTCATGAAAATATCCTGTTTTGTCGTAGTAGATTTCCAGGAATGATAAAACCTTGATTAAGAAGTTATATGCTGAGGAGATAGGATGTAAATTTCAACACTGTAAAATTCTAATTTTCTGGCTTCAGCAGCAACAACAATAACAATCACAAGGCAAGCAAAATAAAAGTGATAGCCCATTCAAATATACAAAAGTAGAGAAAGTGTTTCTATAATACTCAAATATTATATCTCTCTAATAGACCAAATAATACACCAATTTAAGAAATGTAATACAATAATTTTAAACAAGCTCAAAGATCAAGAGTAAAACAAAACACTAAAGGAAATTAGGAAAATATTACATGAAAAACTTAGAATATAAATTAACAAAAATATTCTACAGAAAAGAATCTAAAAGAAACACTAGAACAGAAGGATACTGTAAATGGAACAAAAATGATAAATATTGGAAAAATTGAACACCAGATTTTAGCTGGCAGAAATAAGAATCCATGAATTAAAGGAGAAAGTATTTGGAATTTTGGAGTCTGAGGTACAACAAGACAGAAGAATCAAGACTACTGAGTAAAGCATAATGGAATTGGCATGTACTATCTGGTGAACTTACATACACATCATGGTAATCCTATAAGGAGATAAGAGAGAAAAGGAAAGAAAAAAAAATAATAAGAAGTAACTACTGAAAACTTTCCAACTCTGATGAAAAACACAAATCAACAAATCCAGGAAGTTCAACAAAATCCAAAGAGATCCACACAGACATATTATAATGAAGTTCTCAGAAACTGAAGACAAGGAGTGAACTCAGAAAGAAGCAAAAGAAAAGAAAATTATGACATACAAAGTATCATCAAAAAGATTAAATCCCTTGTGATAGTTGGAGTTGTGTGTAAACTTGGCTGGACCACAATTCGGAGTGGTTTAAGCAGTTGTGATATAGGTTATTCCCATGATGAGGTCGGATGTATATGTTCCGAACAGCCAGGAGGCTTTAAGTCCGAGTTCAAAGTGCCAGGCTCTAGGGGCTGCGTGAAAGCTCCTCGACCTTGGGCTTCGGTTTTGCCTCTTATCCCCGGCCCACTGAAGCTAAAGGCATCTCTTCACTCAGGCAGTTACTGGCTGTTGAAGATAACAAGCCCAAGGTCAACAAATAAAATGGCATAGTCCCGATGTTACCAAGCCACACGGAAGGCCATTAATTCAAGTCCATTGTAAGTCCCACATTCGGCAGAGCATGCAGGGTCCAAGCATGCCATAAGCTAGAGACTGCTCCCCAAGGCTTCTGCTTATATACAAGAATCAGACTATATCCCTAGGGCAGCTACTTAGCTGTTCAAAGTCGATTCCACCATGGAGTTGATTTCCAGTCTCATCATGAGGAATACTACATCCAGTTGCCCAGCCACTCAACCAGGCCTAGCCAAATTGACACACAAATTTAACTACCACACCCATTATTTGTTAGTTTTCATCTATATATTATCTCCCATTATAATTCTGCTATGAGTCGGGGCCGACTCGACAGCACATAACAACAACAACAACAACAACATTATAATTCCTCTAATACATTGCATATATTATAATTTTAAAGCAGTTATATGACTTTTAAAGAAAGTCAGAGGAAAAAAAAAATTTTATATAAAAGATTGACCCTTAAACAACTTCTGTGGTTAAGATTGCCAACCCCACACACAGTTGAATATCTGCATGTAACTTTTGACTCCCCCAAAACTTAACTGTTAATAGCCTACTCTTGACCAGAAGCCTTTCCAATAATATAAACAGTCTATTAACACAGTTTTTGCCCCACCTTCATTAGCTTTTCACACAAAGACACTCACATACATACAAAACAGTTCAATGTATTAGCTATACAGCATGATGATTATTTAGTATTCATTAAATAGAAGTGGGTCATCATAAAAATTTTCTTCCTGATCATCTTCCTGTTGAGTAGGCTGAGGAGGAGAAGGAAGAGGAAGAAGAAGGTTGGTCATGTTATCTCAGGGGTGGCAGACATGGAGAGGTGGAAGACATGGAAAGGGAGGCAGGGCAGGTAAAAGTTTGGTGAAAGTTTATGAAAATATATGAAAAATTTCACATCGAAGTAGACCTGCACAGTTCAAACACATGTTGTTTAAGGATAAACTGTGTATATATACATGTTACTGTTGTTCTTATTGTTGTTAGGTGCCATTGAGTCCGCTCCAACTCATAGTGAACCTATGTACAACAGAACAGAATTTTGACCAATTATGCACCATCCTCACAATCCTTGCTATACTTGAGTCCATCAGTGCAGTACTGTGTCAATCCATCTCATTGAGGATCTTCCCCTTATTTGCTGACCCTCCACTTTATAAAGCATGATATCCTTCTCCAGGAAATGGTCCCTTCTGACAGCATGACCAAAGTAGGTGAGACTAAGTCTTGCCATTTTCACTTCCAAGGAGTATTCCGGCTCCACTTCTTCAAGGACATATTTGTTTGTTCTGGCAGTCTATGGTACTTTCAATATTCTTTGCCAACATCACAACTTAAAAGCATGAACTCTTCTTTGGTCTTCATTATTCGTTGTCCAGCTTTCACATGCATATGAGGCAATTGAAAACACCGCCTTGGGTTATGCAACCTTAGTCTTCAAAGTGACATCTTTGTTCTTCTTACTTGAAAGAGTTCTTTTT